ATAATTAATCCATTGATCGAAATCAGTGCAGTTTTCATGGAGTTATATGAATGAACTTTGAAACTTGACTCATTAAGAATGTGAATATTCCCTTGTTGTTATTCAAGCTCGAGCAGATATTTTCTCCTGATTTCTTTGACTCTATTGAGCATCTGTTCACACATTTATGCTATGAGGCTATACTTGAGGTTCCAGTCCAATACAAATGAATGTATCGCTTTTAGAGGTATGTCTTCATAATGCTTATAGATTCCTTAAATTTTATTTTGCACTAATATGCTACCATATTTATTAACAAAATCTCAATGTTCTAGATTTTTAAATAAAGAAAATATTAGAGATAATACACCTCTAGATGGCTCGATATGTGAGATATACTTATTGCAAAAGACAATTACTTTCTGTTTCTACTATTTTAAGCAAATACAACAAACACATCACACTATTGGTGACATGCATTTACAACCAAAATTATCTATATTTCAGTTATCAGGAGAATTATCAGGAAGACATAGTAGATGCTATTTGAACATGGTTATGAATGCTTTAAGTGCTTAGTAACATTCTGTGTAATTATCTATATTTCTGATATTGGGAGAATTATCAGAAGAATTTCATCTATTTATATAATAAGATTTAGGGTTTTTACATACATAACACCAAATTCTTATGAATTTACTTATCTCACGCCCAAACTTTGATTTTTACAAGTTAAGCATCGTACCTATAGAAAAAAGTATAATTCACCTCTTCATACATCTTTTCAAACAAACAAAAAGGTGCTTGACTTGAAAAAATTAAAGTTTGGGTGTGAGATAAGTAAATGCATAAGAAGTGGGTTTATGTATGTGTAAATTCCCCTAAGATTTATAGTAATCATATTTTTTTTTCAATTATTACAAGAATATTATACTAAGTAACTTTAATAGATAAATAATAATGATATGAGCATGTTATTTACTAAAAGTTTAAACATAGAGGATGACCTTATCATGAGAAAGAAGATTGCAGAAGATTTCTGACATGATTCATATTATATGTACGTTGAAGTAACTATTCAATTAACCAAAAAGTAATATAATTATCATATTCAAAATAAACCTAATTATATTTTGGAACTTCTTATAGGTTCATAATCCAAGCAACGAAGTTACGTATCAAGACTTATTAGTCTTGTTTGGGGATTTAATTGTGGTGTCATTGCGTAACAAATATTTGATTTGAATGATTTTATATTTCACACAAGTTCCTAGTGTGAAAACAAGAAGTATAATTGTGGTGCTTGTATTAGAGAAAACACACACTCGTATCTTGAGATCAGTTATTACGACTTACTTGAAGAAGCGGTTCA